GTGCCTCATGCACAGGCTGTACCTGAGATTGCATTGAAGGGTGTAGACTTGGATCTTCCAAGTGCACTGAGATTTCTGGGGCATGCCCAGCCTTTAGGTGAGAGAGATACACTGGACCAATACTATATCAGCTAACAAATTGATAGCTAAGCCACAGAAGCAACCAAGGACTGGAACCTCAGCCAGTAAGTCAATTTGTTCCTATAATCTCATATTTGATATATCATCTGCAGAGCCTAAGACTAAGAAGAACAAGGCCACACATGTGTTGCCTATGGGACATACTGGCTATCTGCACATGCATTCCAGTCTCAAAAGGCTTGGCAGGTGCCAGAAGAGTTGCTAGCCTCTTCTGAAGATGAAGATGATGTGGATATGGGCCAGTGAGTGGTTTTCTCTATATATATGCAACAATTGTTAATAGATATTTGTTATCAAGTTTGATGAAGAGATGTTCCTCAAGACCATGCTAGTGAGTGATCACAACTTTCTTTATTGTGTACTGTCCTGACACATAATCCAGTGCTTGCTGAGGAGCCTGAGATTGAGATTGAGATTGAGCCTGAGATTGACTGAGAATAGGCCTAAGCCTGTGTTGAGCATGAGCATGAGAATGATAGTGAGGATAACTATGAACATGAGCTGGAAGCAAGGGCATAATGAGAGATGAAGGTGAGAAACTCTCACTGCACTTAACTCTCAACTAACATACCCATTTAGTTGATCTAGCCATTGAGGCTCTCCTTGATGAACCTGAGGCACATCCTGCACAGACTAGAGCCATGGAGTCCCACCCCAAAAGTGAGTATTTCATGCATCACACATATGATACTATGGGACTAAATATTCAACTATGACAGTGAAAGCATTGCTGAGGATCTTCAGCAAGTCACAATTATCTCAGACCCTGGGTGGTGTCCAGTCAGCCCTTGAACTGCTGAAATTCAAACCTCAGCAGTTAAGTGAAATCATCCAGTCATTGGATGATTTTGAGAGTCAGGCTGATAAACTGCCAAAGTACTCAGCTGACCTTGTCAAGGGTATTGGAAAATACTGGCATGATCTGTCAGTCTTAGGCAGAGCAAGTGAGCTACAGTCTGTCTGGCTCAACATCAGCCATCAGAGGATCATGGTGTCCAAGACATGGGTTATTCAGTTCCTGTATCAGGATTGTAAGAGTGTTATAGAGACTATCTCATCTCAGCATAGAGCCCATGTCTTTGTGCATCACAATGACTCTGAGCAATTAGAACCCTGCAATTGTAGGCAGCACTGGGAAGATCAACAAAGAGATGTCTTATGGCTGGTAGACCTTACCTTAGCCTTCATTGAGAAGTTCAGAGACTATGCACAAGATGCAACATGGTCTGTGTCATCTGCTCCATATATTCCAGCTCTAGATCCACCAAAAAGAGTCAATCATAAGCTGGAGTACTACAGGAACAGATTGCCAGCAGATGATACTAGATTTGATAGAGATGTGACCTGGAATATCTTGCAAATAATCTCTGCATGGCTTGGTATCACTGAGATCAACATGAAGGACCTGATCAGACAGGCAGGTCTTGTCACTAGTCTCTGTGAGGTACTGGACATGGGTGCACTTGTGCTGCCAGCTATCTGGGAGATATACAAGGCAGTTCCTAACTGGATCACTGAGAGATACCAAATCACACAGCCTCATCTCATGACTGAAGACATTTTCCATGACTTCAAGAGAGCTTTGAAAACTACTCCTGCAGCCAGCCTAGACACTGCAGAGAGGGAGTTACTGAAGTCCATTCAGTATGCTCATGAGAAGTTCATTAAGATGTCTAAGAGCTCCAGTTCTCAAGCTGCTCAAATTCCAGAGCCTGTGCCAGTCCAAGTAAATGCTATTTCTCCTGAGAAAGCTGTCAACTTTGTCATAGCCATTCTCCAGGATGCACTGAGATCACAAGAGTCCATAGACAGCCAGAATGAACATAAACCATTCCAATTGATACATGATGACTCTGACAACTTCCTAGCCTTGAGGGAGCAGGGTGCATCCAGGAAGAGGTTGATGGACTCTCCTAAGAACCCATTTGATGATGCAAACATTGTCACAGATGCTGGTCTATTCAGTGCTTTCTATTTCAGGTTGCGTGCATTCAGAAGTCCTGCTCTTCTGCATACTCCAAAGGAACATCTGAAAACCATGTTCAAAGGCCCACAGGAGTTGAGAGACTATGAGCAAGGACTTAAGGATCTCCTGCACAAGAGCCCCAATTTGTTTGGCAATCTAAGTGACATTGAGAAGAAAAATTTCCTCATGCACCATGCCACCTATGGACAAGTGAATAAGCTGGATGATGGATGGGAAGATGAGCTGTGGGAAGCTGTTAGGCTCACAAATTGGGAAACTCTGATGGCCAAAAAACCAGTGGATTTCCAAGAGATCTACAAGAAATGGCTTAAGAAGTCCAGGAAGTCCAGTAGTGAAAATGAGCCCAGTCAACATCTACAGAAGATGGGCAAATTAACACTGTATCTCCTCTGTGCAGACCTCTCTTATACTTGTGCTGTGAAAAAGCCTAGTACTGCAGAGGTGGGAGACATGATTGCAAGGATAGACTCAGGAGCTGTGGCTGGACTGAAGACCTTGGGGCTTGTACCTGCACAGGGACTCATTGGTCAGATGCTGAGAGACAAAGTCAGGGAGCAGTTTGGCTGGCTCTTTCATGAGATAACTGCCAAAGTTTCCCAAGAGGAACTTGAGAAGATGCAATTTGATGAGATTGTCTTGGAACACACTCTCTGCAAAGTTGGGAGGTTCTTGAAAAAGGGCGCATATGGTGAATGGGGTATCAGCATAGTTGAGAAGAAGAAGAAGACTAAGAAGACCAAGAAGACCAAGAAGAGAGGGCTTGAAGAGGCTGAGGAGGGATCTGATGGGGAGGAGAGACCTAGCACTAAAAAGAGTAGGACTGCAAGTGACAAGAGCAAGGGTAAAGGGAAAGCAGTAGCTAGATGACTGTGTTTGTATTGACAACATCCCATTTGGCAATGTAATTCACAGGTCTTGCTGATGTTATATCAGTATGACATGAAACCAAAAGCATGTCAACATCATGTAACTGTACTCAGTATTCTCCAAATATCTTTCCTCTGCATAGGTCTGTACACAGAATCATTATGAACAGACCATGAAGTGCAGTGTGTACTGTGATATGGAATGTAAGTAACAATAGTATGCTGAATGGGCAGTCTTTGCCCATTATGAGCTTTGTACTGTCACTATAAAGAATTTCCCAGATCTCTATTATGGATGGCTGCACTGTATGGGTCATATGCAACATATCTGGGGTAGAAACAAGCATAAATGCTACAGAGCCACTTGTAATTTTGCATTTTGCATTTTGCATTTCCTGGCCTGACTAGTGCCTACTAGGGGTGAACCAAATTACTGTATTTCACCTGAAAAAAAGGTCCAAGTGACTCAGTATATGGTTGGTATGTGTTGCAACGTATGTCATGGATCATGTGACTGGCTAGACCCAGTGGCCATTGTCCCTTTTCTGGTACAAAAGAGACATGTATACAAAGGTAGTGATATGTAGTTGATGTTGATCAGGGATATATACATTTCAGGCAAGCCATAGGCGGACTATTGCACAAGAAGTATCACAGAAGCTCACATTGCCCTAAATGGTGAGTCACCTTCCAAATCCAGTAATTCCCGATAAAGTGAATGTCTAGTGCTTCATAAATTGAAAATAAATCAGAAGATATTCATAGAGTGCTATGGCCTGCTGATGAGGCCTGTGATGTTTGGAACATGTTACCATATATGGAAGGTAAGCAATAATATCATGTACAAGCATAAAATCAGCCAACATTGCCCATTCTCAGCTCTGTTATGGCACCATAAAGCATTTTCATGATGTCTGATACACATGGCTATACTGTATGGGTGATGTGCTCCACATCTAGTGTGAAAATGAGCAATTCAAATTCTGCAAAGTCTCTTGTGTTTTTTTGTATTTTGCATTTTCTGGCCTAACTAGCCACTATTGGGGCCCAACAAAATTACTGTAGACTCTATGAAACAAGGGCTACAAGTTGATTATGTAATTGCCATATCTATTTGTGGGTGCTTATTGTTGCAAAAAGTGATTGATTATATTGGAGTGCAGTGCTGCTGGTTAGGTCACATGCCATGTTCACCACTTTCCATATTGGGCTCCAAGCTAGACGTTACAGGAGCCCCAAGTCCATGGGGAATTGCCAGCCACTGCATTTGTTTGGGTGTGTTGGTGTGAGTCGCGTCATCTGGGAGTCTGAAATTTGAAACTCAGCTAATGTGAGCATAGTAAGAGTTACTTATCTTAGGTTATCTGGTGCTCAAACAGTCACATGCACTGTGGGAAAAACCTGCCATATTGGGCTCCATGCTAAGCGTTACATTCTCTCCAGTCATAAGAACGATTCCTTCGTACCTCAGGGATCGTAACACGCTGTGGGCTTTGTAGTCTCTGCGCGGAAGACTGACATTGGTGTAAATAGCAAGCTTTGGGATGGGTTCGACATGAGGATCACTGTCGAATGGCTGGTATGACGTGAATAACCAGGCTGGTCGAATTTGCAACGACCGTGCGTAGTGACTGCGTGATGGGATGTAGCCATTGGGTTGTACGGTTCAACCTCTGTGGTTGCTGCATTACCTTCTCTAGAGGGTTGTCACGCACGATCCTGGCCTGCCTCATACTCGCCTTGTATTTTCATTCCTCTACCTTCAAACCGTCTTGCCCACTGATCGTCTTGCTTGCCAACCGTCTTGCCTGCTGACCTTGCTCACTAAGTGTCTTGCACGCTTGCTGTCCTGCTCTCGTGCCATCTCACTGCCTTCTGTCTCACCTGTGAGGTGTCCTAATTGTGTACTGTCTTACATGCCCATTACTTGAAGTAGGCTGGTTTGTTGGAATAGTTGTAGGCAATTTTGGACGAGAGGGAGCATGAGTGAGGCGACTACCTCACAGGTGTCATATATTGCAATGAGGTATGTGCAATCCACCAGCCTTGCTTGCATACTAGAATGGGTACTGAGAATCAAGATTTGAGATCATTGTCTGTCACTGTACATATATGATGGTTCACTCTGAGCAACGAGACTTATTGTCATTTGATCCAACATTCACGCACATTCTTCATAACTGTACTGCACTGGTAGTGAATATACACTTCAGAATACTGTGATCATATGTCCAGTACAACCTCTATTAGTATCCAATGACATAGAAGTACAATGATATGGACAACCAGAGGATATGTACATGAAGTTGGTGTTAGTAGTAGGAGCACGCTCACTAAATGCGCAAACACTCTCCAGTGATTTGCCCTCGGGCATTGCCTCGGCCATATCCCCGAGCCACCGGGGATGATGTTCTTTTCATTATAACTTCACCCCCGTGCCACCATATGCTATGAAACTTTGTACCAAGCATAACTATATATAGTACATGGCCTATATAAATTTGTATGAGAATTGAACCGTGGGATGTGTTTGTCTAAGACGTGCTCTGCATGTATAACCTTCTTGGCTATTTCAAGCTTCAACATTGCCAGATTGTGTTGGAGTATTGTTAGCAGCAACATAAACCATGGACACAGCGTTAATAAAACTTCTGTATGCACTCAATTGTGACAATTGTCTTGCAGAAGCTGCGAACTAATCTATATGCCTCCCAGTATCTCCAAACAACATATCATTTTTGAGACCTATCCTGAGATCCTAATTCTGTAAAAGCTGAGATTACACAATGCCAAAGTACTCTTTACATATAGGACAATGAGTTCAGTGGTCTACGTGAGTGGTTGGCCTAACAAGGCCTAATGTACATGTAGCTCTGTAAACACATATAGAACATATAGGACATGTTTGAACTCAGAGTAGTACTACATCCATGCCATTGAATCTGAAAGCAATGAATGTAAAAGAAAGAGCATACATCAATACACATACTCACTGAGACCATAAGCTCTGAACAACATGCAAACCTTCCGTCTTGAACACACCGCCTTGAACACACCACCTTGAACACACCGCCTTGAACACACACCACCTTGAACACCCCGTCTTGGGCACTCCATCCTGAACACTCCGTCTTGAACACTCCGTCTTGAACACTCCGTCTTGAACACTCCGTCTTGAACACTCCATCTTGAACACTCGGCCTTGAACACTCTGCTGTGAGCACTTTGCCTTGACAAGTGTGTCTCAAAAAGGCAACATCCATTCCGCCTTGAGAATGCTCCGCCTTGAGAACACAATATTATCCGCCTTGACAAGAGCTCAGACTGGTATACACTCTACTTTGAACTAGCCCGTCTTGGCTAATAGGCAATGCCAACCAACATGCACAACCAGTTAGCGGATTGGCTTTGGTGAGTCAAGAAGGTCCAAGAAGGTCCGCTGAGTCAAGACGGACATCGGCTGGGAAATGTACCTCAGCCAATGCTCGGCTCATGCATTGTATTGGGTGAGTCAAAATGGTCGGCTGGGTCAAGACGAGAATCGGTTGGAAACAGTGGCCCAGCCGATGGTCGGTTCATGGATTGGCTTGAGTGAGTCAAGAAGGTCCAAGAAGGTCGGCTGAGTCAAGATGGACATTGGCTGGGAAAATCCCCTCAGCCGACGCTCGGCTCATGCATTGTATTGGGTGAGTCAAAATGGTCGGCTGGGTCAAGACGAGAATCGGTTGGAAACAGTGGCCCAGCCGATGGTCGGTTCATGGATTGGCTTGAGTGAGTCAAGAAGGTCCAAGAAGGTCGGCTGAGTCAAGACGGACATCGGCTGGGAAAATCCCCTCAGCCGACGCTCGGCTCATGCATTGTATTGGGTGAGTCAAAATGGTCGGCTGGGTCAAGACGAGAATCGGTTTGGAACAGTAGCCCAGCCAATTGTCGGTCAGTGGATTGGCTTGGGTAAGTCAAGAAGGTTCTAAGAAGGTCGGCTGAGTCAAGACGGACACCGGCTGGGAAAATCCCCTCAGCCGACGCTCGGCTCATGCATTGTATTGGGTGAGTCAAAATGGTCGGCTGGGTCAAGACGAGAATCGGTTTGGAACAGTAGCCCAGCCGATGGTCGGTCAGTGGATTGGCTTGGGTAAGTCAAGAAGGTTCTAAGAAGGTCGGCTGGGTCAAGGCGAGAATCGGTTGGGAACAGTGGCCCAGCCGATGGTCGGGCAGTGGAATGTCTTGGGTGAGCCAAGAAGGTCACAACTGCACTAACATTGGTGTTATCATGCCATTCAATTTTATTGTAGTACCAGTCAGTATGAACTACAATATCTACTAAACACCGCCTTGCAAGGCCATCTTGCCCGTCTTGACTGCCTCCGCCTTGGCCTCGGCCGACCCCATCCTCTTTGGTGAGACAATTTTGGTCGGCCAACGTCGGCCCACCCCATCATGTTTCGTCACACCATGCAGCCCTTTTTACCCGAAGCCTATCCTATAGCCGACGTGCCGTCTCGCGGAATGTCATGGGAGTAGCCTACGCCGGCCGACGAGTCGGCCACTACGATGAGGATGAGACACCCGACGGACATATGTAGTACAGTACTTCAGCAATAGTAATACAATTATAGTAACCGTTTTGGATGGTCAGACACTGCGCTATGAATAAAAACCGCGTCGGCCGGTAAGTCTAACGCGTCGGCGAGCCCTCTCAAGGAGGTTGCTGGTCTGCCACAGGCACTCACCGTCTTATCAAATCAACAGCTAGTGTAAGTCAGCAATGTGACTCGCTTGGTCCTAGTTTGCTTGCCTTAAAAATGATTCGACGATCCCGCTTTGATGCTCAAACCGTCTTGATGGGCGCGCGGCATCCCGTCTTAGGATTCTGCGTATCGGCTGAGGTGGTCGGGTAATCGGCTTGTAACAACATGAGTCGGGTGGGAAAACACGGGATAAAATATGTTAAACACTGACCAGGATGTATTCGACATCGGCCAGAATGTATTAGACGTCGGCTTGGATGACGCCTTGACTGTGGTGAATTCCCGTCTTAGAGTGACCATGAAGATCGGCTGCGATATAGGATACATGGGCCAGGATATAGGCCAGATCGGTTGACATTTGTCGGAGGTCGGGCAGTATGTATTGACAATTGGCTGGGATGTGTTAGAGATCGGCTGGGATGACGCCTTGACTGTGGGGGAGTGCCGTCTTAAATGATCACGAACATCGGCTGGCATGCAGGACATATCGGCTGAGATAGGTCGGACATCTGCCGGAATATATTGAAGATCGGCTGGACTATGTTAAGTGTTGGTCTTGATGCATCAGACGTCGGTCGAGCCAGCACACATGTCGGCTGGCTCGGAAGGCCGTCTTGGCCAAGGAGGTGATGTGCTTGGTTGTGGCAGGGGTCGAAGGTGTTTCCATGTGCGTGGGATCAACTGACAGTCTGTGTACATAAATGGGCTGGACCTGAGTCCCGTGCAAGCCAGAAAGTATGACTCCCTGACTGAAGTTCCTGTGAACCATCAAGAGACTTGGCGCTGTCAGTATCAAAAATAGAACAGAGGAAAATTGGACTACAACTGCCTACTACGTATTAACATTAGAGGTGGCACAGTGGGGTCAAAACAGGCCTTAGAGCATCAGCTTCACCGTTCAAGACGTAGGAATCACCTTCTTACGCATGGGCCGTCTTGAATTCAGGGCGGCGGGTCGAAGGCCGCATGCCTCTGGTGCGATTGTAGCGGTCTCACAAATAGATCCGATATTCCAACACACAGGAGGCACTCGTTACATTGTCATATACATACAATACATTGGGGGAAACCAAACATGAGCGTGTTGAAGCTATATACCCTGCGTTGCCAGAAAGACCCTCAAGACGGCCGTGTCTTTCAAGAAGTCCCTGGGCACCCAGTCATCGGCACTCTCAGGCGTATCTTTCCAGTGAATCTTGCACTCCCAGTTGTCGTTGAGGTTCCGCATCTCGTAGACGTACTCGATGTGGCTATCCATGTATACTGGGACAGCGGTCAAGTGCTTGACGCGTGACCAGGGCAATTCGACGTTGTGTTTTGGCTCCCAGCCTTCCCAGCTCAGCCAGAACCGCCATCGGGTTTTCTTCTTGTAGCAGAGTTCGATCGCGCGAACCTTGTACCACTCCTCCTCCCCATCGACGTCGACCGGCCCGGGACCAGAGTCAGAATCTAACGGACGATAATGTGGTCAGCACAATTGCCCAGTTGATGTTACGGAGAATATGTCCGACATACCTGCATCACCGTCTTGATCCATCGCTTGAGAAGCCTCTGCCGACACATCCGACTCAGACGGTGAAGCTGCCCGACGCCTGTTTTTGATCATTACGTGATCCGGCCCTTTGGAACGGGATCCTCGGTGCCTCGGTGCAACTGAGGGTGACCTCTTGATTGGTTCAGGGCGTGGACGGTCGGGTCCAGTATAGTCAGGAAGGGCAGGGCGTGCCTGGACGCCTGCCACGTCTGGATCTTGGCCACGAATGGGAGGGAGGCGGGGGCGGTTAGGCCCGGAATAGTCGGGCAGCCCATGAGGCCTCTTGTCCTGATGAGGCGGTGGAGGAGACGGGCTGGGCGCGAGGATGGGCGCAAGGCGTGGGCGTCCCGGCCCGGTGTAATCGGGAAGCACGCTTCCCGTCTTGCGCTCAGGAGCGGGAGCCGACTCCAGACGAGGTGCTGGAAAGGGAGGGAGGCGGGGACGGTCAGGCCCAGAATAGTCGGGCAGCCCATGAGACGTCTCGACCTGATGAGGCGGCGGTGGAGACGGGCTGGGCCCGAGGATGGGCGCAAGGCGTGGGCGTCCCGGCCCGGTGTAATCGGGAAGCGCGCTTCCCGTCTTGCGCTCAGCAGCGGGAGCCGACTCCAGACGGGGAGCGGGAAAGGGAGGGAGGCGGGGACGGTCAGGCCCAGCGTAGTCGGGCAGCCCTTGAGACCTCTTGACCTGTTGAGGCGGTGGTGGAGACGGGTTGGGCCCCAGGATGGGCGCAAGGCGTGGGCGTCCCGCCCCGGTGTAGTCGGGAAGCACGCTTCCCGTCTTGCGCTCAGGAGCAGGAGCCGACTCAAGACGGGGAGCGGGAAAGGGAGGGAGGCGGGGACGGTCAGGCCCAGCGTAGTCGGGCAGCCCTTGAGACCTCTTGACCTGTTGAGGCGGTGGTGGAGACGGGTTGGGCCCCAGGATGGGCGCAAGGCGTGGGCGTCCCGCCCGGTGTAGTCGGGAAGCACGCTTCCCGTCTTGCGCTCAGGAGCAGGAGCCGACTCCAGACGGGGAGCGGGAAAGGGAGGGAGGCGGGGACGGTCAGGCCCAGCGTAGTCGGGCAGCCCTTGAGACCTCTTGACCTGTTGAGGCGGTGGTGGAGACGGGTTGGGCCCCAGGATGGGCGCAAGGCGTGGGCGTCCCGGCCCGGTGTAGTCGGGAAGCACGCTTCCCGTCTTGCGCTCAGCAGCGGGAGCCGACTCAAGACGGGGAGCGGGAAAGGGAGGGAGGCGGGGACGGTCAGGCCCAGCGTAGTCGGGCAGCCCTTGAGACCTCTTGACCTGCTGAGGCGGTGGTGGAGACGGGCTGGGCCCCAGGATGGGCGCAAGGCGTGGACGCCCTCGTCCGGTGTAGTCGGGCACTCGAGACGGTGCCGTGCTATCTGCGGTTAGGCCCTGGCCTTCGAAGCCAATAGGCCCGAGGCGCGGGCGTCGAAGTCCGACATAGTCTGCCGCTTCAACTCCATCTACGGGGGGGAAGAAAAAAGGTTACGTCAGACACCCCGGACATCAGACGCAAG